ACAAAAGGGTGCTCCTTCTAAATAAAATACCCCAAGCATTTATTCCTTTCACTATCCATTTCTTCAGTTTCTAACTCATAATGTTTCATGGCAACAAAGTATCGGATAAAAGTTTCACCTAATGCTTCCTTAATGCAGGAATCTTTCTCGAGTGCAACAAGAGCATCTTCTAGTTTCAGAGGGACTGAGGAATGTTTCAGATCACCAGTATGATTTTCTTCTTCGAGCATATCATCATACCTAAGTCCCCTCTTTACTCCATCTAGACCCGCAGCAATAGTAGCAGCAAGGACCAGGTACGGGTTTGCTGCAGCAGAACTTAATTTATTCTCTATGTAAGTGCCTTTTCCACCATGACATTTGACATTAAAGGCACAGCTGTTATCATTATATGCCCATTTTGCATTTACAGTCTCTTTTGATTCTTTACTGTATTTGGAATAAGGCTTACGGCAACTGGTGGTAGGAGCCATCAAGCAGCTGATAGCTGCTGTGTGTGCCAAGAGGCCTGATAACCAATTTTTTCCAAGTTCTGTTAGCTCCTCAACTCCATAGCCAACAGAAAACAAATTCTTCTGGCCATTCAAATCCCATAGGCTATGTGACAGAGCCCCTGAATTGTAGAATCCTGATTCTGAGAAAAAGCTAGCCACGTAGTTATACTTCTTAGCCACCTCTTTAATGCCTGTTCTAAATGTGAAGGCACTGTCAGCAGCATCTATGCCAAACGCTGGATGAAAAGTGATCTCCATTTGCCCAGGCCCAGTGGAAGAAGAAAAGCTTTCAATGTTGGCACCAGCATAATACATTCCTTCAATGAGCTCCTGAATGAAAGTCTGGTCATGGTTATTTAGTATTGTAGCTGCAGGAAAGGATATTGTCTTTGAATTTACAACCTCAGTAATGCCATAAATACAAAATTCATAAGTGAATGCAGAGTGCAGAGAAAAACCATTGTCCTGAAGCTGGCTCAGCTGTTTCTTGGCAATGTGCCTCGGTGAGGTCATTAGTGGGTTGCCCAGCACAGTGAAGGAATCACATATCACTCTTGCAGTCTGCTCAGTCCAGGGTAGTACTCGAAACGTTGATAAATCAGGATTCAGAATTATGTCACAATTAAAATTGGTTGCATTTATGTAATCTAATTCATTATCTTTAGGATTCAGCGTCAGCTCAAGGTAACTTCTGGGCATGGCAACACCATGAATTGCTTTTTCCTAAACACAGAGCAGAAAGACATATTACCAAAAGAGCTCAGTGGTATTTTTATATATGTAAAATATGTAAAACTCAGATTCTCAACAAGAACAGTATTTTTCCTAAAAGAACACTAAGATGCAGCGATCACTAAAGTGGAAGGTAACAGCCAGTTACTATGTTGTTATAAAGCAGAACAACTTTCTTCGAGATTGGTATGAAAACTCTGGCATCAATTACCCTAAAGATAATTTTTAAAATTTCCATATAGTACTAAAAAATGTTTAACACCTATCTTGCATGGTCTTTTCGTAATTATGGGCCTCACCACTTAGGTGTAAACTTTGCAAGTCAAACTTCCATCTCTAGTTAGTCTATTTCGCTTCTAAATCCTCTGAGCATTTCCTTTACAAAGACCCAAGTCACCACACAAGATTCATGGCAATATGAATTCAGACTGTAACTTCTCTTTAAATGCCATAACACATACCTCAGTGTTTTCCAGCTGCAACATTTAATAGAAAAATCTTACTTTCTGGACTTAAAAAGTTCAGGGTAAAATTCAAAGGAAGCACTTCCAAGTGAGAAGAACTTATAACAATACTTTCTTCTCCATTTGAACAGAAAACTTCCACTGATGCAAATGAAATGCAGACAGAACCCCAATGAATGTCTGCTTTCAAACAAGCACCTTTACAACTTACCTTACATCCAAATATTTATCTGATGAAAACTGTAATTATGCCAAGCTATTAAGGGAAATTTGGCTGTTGTTTACATTTTACCTTTATTCTTCTAAGCAAAAGGATTGCCATCTGAGCGAGCAGATGAGAATAAATGTAGAAAGGGGTAAGCTCGGAACTGAATAAAACTCACATTTTGCCTATCCAGATAGAAAATTGTTGAAATACTTTTAACTGCATATGGTAGCTTCTTTCAGTGTTAATGAATGATTGAATGAGTGATTGAATGAAGTCTGTCCTCTCTTAAGTAGGTGGCAGTCAACAGTATAAATGTTCCCTGTGGGATACCCATAACCAACACTGCACACTCTGGTGAGTTCTGCTCCAAGATGTCTAAGCTGTCCATTCGGCAGTGAAAGGGTGTTCAAGCTGATTACCCTGAGTAGTACCACTCCCTCCTCCAACCCTGATACCCCAAAAATTGCTCTTTACAGATACATATGTGTGTATGTGTGTACACGTACACACTTTTTTAGTATAAAAAAATGTATACTGTTGCAGCTCAAATTTGTTCAGACCATAGGAACAAAAGTTGTCTTTGAACATGCTGATCTAGACGTTTGCAGTTTGACATAACAACTGAAAGAGAAGCAGCAATTAATGAACAACCCTTCACAAGAATTAAAATGGCAGAGGAAAAGTTTATTTTGATAAAATCCAAATTGCATCCAAGAGAGCAAATGATATCTAGATGATACAATTGCAGTTTAGTAATATCTGAAAAGGAAATAATGAAAACACAGCTCAGGCTTCAGAAGGAACTTGCAACAAGAGTGTTCTTCATCTCTTCATGTTCATATTTTTTTTTGCAATCACTCAGTAAAGTTTAAAATATTCATAGTAATATTTGAGTGAAAATATAATGCAGTTATGCACATGAAGTACACAGAAGCAATATACTGAAAAGCCTGATCGATCAAGGATACACGTGGTGAGGATTGTTTCCTAATTTGATTCCTATTTCCTGAATCATTACTGCGGCAAATATTGCTGCTAAGTCACCATGCAACTCAGTGCTATCTTCCTATGTTCATGATAACTATAAAATTTCTCATATACGAGAATGATTTTCATTCATTTTCTTTCAGTGTTTACTTCTTTCTTCTTGTAATTTACCCAACTTTTTATAATGCATTGAACCTGAGAAGATAATTCTGAGGGAAGAGATCATTAGAACTCCAAAGAACTGAAATTACCAGCCTTATTTAATTAGATTACTATTTGGGGGAACAGAGGAATACATTATTGCAATGATGAAAGAAGTCTAGATACTTTGGGAACATGAGCAAGTGGAAGGAAGAGATAATTTGTTCTAAGTTTGAGCTGCTGCCTGCACTATGGAAAAAAATATAATTAAAGGATGAGGGCATGAAAACACAAAAATGTACAGGAAGAAACCAAAAAACTTACATGAAAAAATCGGGAAGGAACATTCTTTGATCTTGACACACCGTGGAGGTCTATTGATTCAAATCTGACAAACTGCACGTTGTCCCTGGCCATCTGCTGCTTAATAAATTCAATATGAGAGAACAGGTGAAGGAGAGTTGAACTTCTGAGACCGTTTACGTCAGGCTCTCTGCTGGATGCTACAAATGAAGAGGAATGTTCACATCAAACAAAATAATGAATAGTGGAATACAGGCTATTCTCCCAAAAATAGTGGGAAATCATGGCATGGTGGGTAAAAACAAAAACTAGAAAAAACTATGGGTGATAAAACAGTTTTGTAAATAAACACATGTATTTTTCCTTGAAACTCTGTATAAAATCCCTTATTTTTTGAAATGGTCTATTAACTTGAACTATTTTTCAAGCTGAGAAGAGAACATGTGGTAAAGCCAGGAATTTCTAAGGGATACCTCAACTGGTTTGTTGAGTGTTTTTGGGAGCACGAATAGCAACTGGCTACCTATTCCCACTGAAAACTGATAGAATAGAGATGTAATGTTTCTTCAGTGACTTTGTAAAGTGTATGGTTACAGAAGCATTATAAAAAGGGCACCTGTCTTCTACTAAACCTTTCTCAAGACCTGCTGAGGAGGACTGTAGTCTCCTTCACCACAGGCAACAATTTTAAGGGAAGTTCATGCATTTTTGAATTTTTTAGAATGGAGTTGTCTTCTTAACTGTATTACAGCATCTTTGGGACTATATAAACTTCTTGACATGAAAGCAGCAACATCTGAGTATAAATTCCGTAATGGAACAGAGAATTGGGCACTGTAACTTCCTTTCACTAACCTCTTGATTTCTCAGCCTGCTTCTCTTTTGAGTATCTATGTATTGCTATTATTCAAGTTAAACTCCATAAGGTATTAATTTTCACTCAATACAATAAAGTAAACAGACCAAGTGTAAAATTTTACATAAGACATGAAAAAATGTAAAAAAAATATTTCTCTCTACATTCCTGGGAGAAAAGTCCTCCATTCTTCCTGAGGATATGATCAGAAGAACTTTTGCAAATCTTTCAAATCCACAGTGGAAGATCACCATTCAAGCAGAAGTTAAAGCTTCATGCTGAGGCACTCTGAAGGTTGGTGGAAGCCATCCTGATCTCTCCAGTAGAAAATTACCTGAACTAGAGCAAATCTCCTTTAGCACTGGCCAGCAGGCACAGTCAAATTTTTTTGACCTCTCCTTTGGGGCAAGTGGGACTGACAGCTGTGAGACTATAAGAAGGCTCTCTAGCTGGCCCAAAACAAGGCTGTCAGGATACTCCCTGAGAAGGCAGTAAACTCATTCATAGTTGTAGATTTCTCAGACTTTGAATATTACTGGAGCATCCTCCAGGTTCAGATGGTAAGGAGGATACTTTAAGCCAGTAAAGTACGAAGAGGTTAAGTAAGAACAGTGCTCCCTGATGAATGGCAGGTGAAAGCACAGAATAAGATTTTAAGTAAATGGTAAGACAGAGTAAAAATTGCATAGGTAAAAGCAAGGGAAGAATTCTGTTACATCCACTTCTCTTTGTGACATCTTTCCCTTTGGAAAGATTTACTAGATTTGACCTCTTTATGAACATGATCATGATCTAGAAGTTTATTAACAGCTAATAAACTGTGGCTGTCTAATAGATTACTGGAATTTTTAAAGATTCTGAAAATTTTCCTACAGTTTATATCAAAAGGAGTTTTCTGCAGCTCCAGAGACAGAAGTCTGAGGCTTTTGCCTTTGTAAAAGCAGTGCTCAGTCCCTTATTCTATACAAGTTTAATTTCCTCTGCAAAGACGGTAGACATTTCCTGTCTACCACCTGTCACACTAAGGTTTTTATGTCTTTCAAAATTGCCTGTTAAATTTCCACCTACTGAACAAACATTTTTCAGGTAAAAACACATAAATCATGAAAAAACAGCAACTTAAATTCTGATCCAATTAACTATTTAAATCAGTATTCCTAAGAGATATAAATTATATAAATCAGTATTTAGGAAAAACATAAATGTGATGTGCAGTCATATTAATGATGCATACATTTATTTAAAAAATAAAGCTACAAATGTGCTTGAGTTAAACATCTACCAATGGTAAGTGATTCTCCAAATTTTATATATATATGTTGTCCTCAGTCTAAAGTTATTTGACTAAATACATAAATGCATAATTACATTATATAACTAACACAAATTACCAGAAAATTTCTATAAAGTAATGTTTTTAAAGAACGTGAAGAAAGCAAAAATTATTAATTGAAGAAGCAAGAATTTGTCTTCTTCAGTTGGACTTGTTATGATTAAAGATGTATCTTTTTAAATGATGAGCCTAAATTGTATATATTGGTCTAGTATTAGTCTAAAGCTAATTTGTATACCAATCTACACACTCCACTAGTCAAAAAAGAGATGTTTATTCATTTACAAGAGCCTTTATCCAAAAACTTTTAGAATCAATAGAAACAGTCATGCAGCCTTCACGTACTTTTTAGAGTTAATATTTTATATCATTTGCAGATTAGCTTTCCCACTGAAATAATAAGTTTCTGTAAATTGTAAGACAGCTAAAAATATCATAATAACTTAATATCTCTGATTGATTTTGGAAATACGAAAGAGGATTTGTTTCTTAAGTAATAATTAGTGAATAACTAGTGACTATTTACTTGTCTCCAGTGCAGGACCCCAAATTTTTTGGTAGCCACTAAAAATCACTGTCAAACTACATCCATGAAGACAATTATTATTAAAGTTTGGAAAGATATAGTAGGGAACCGAGTACTCTGCATTTACCCCGTTCATATAATTATTATCCAGAGCATTAGTTACTGGTAAATAAGGTAGCTAGTAAGCAAGTATTTGACAGGCCTAGCTGATTCAGAATCACAGTCTTGAAGTCTTATATTGTTATGAGTGAGAATTCTTCTCATAAGTAGAACTGTTTCCCTAGCTTTCTGAACCTCTAGAATAATGGCATCTTCCTTTTAATTTCAGAAAATCTATTTATGGAAACATGTAATTCAACAAGATGCTCAGATTTTATTCAAATTTTCACTTTAAAAATTAAATAAAAATCCAGACAGACCATCTTTCTTCAAGCAGATCCTTAGATATCTACATCAAATCATAAGGACACAGAACTTTTTTTTTGTCTATGGTTCTATCTGTATTTTCCATTTAGGTTACTACTGAGAAATAATTAGTATTATTCCTGTTTCTATTGCAATTACTACAAAATATCTATAAATGCAAATAATGTATCTTCATTTATTTAAAACAAAGCAATAACACAAAATTAAAAATATTACCAAAAAATCTGAAAAATACAAACATTATTATTATTATTATTTCTATTAGAGGAGTGGTGCCATTCTTATATTATTGATGTTGAAATCATTCAGATTGCTGAGAGCAGCTGACATGGGAATAGGGCAAATAGTTGACATCAGCTTTCCCTTCTCAGCAACATAAAAATGCCACAACAGAAGAAAGTGCACATCTTAGATCAATCCCTCATTTTCTCTTTGTACAAAGGAATCCTTTCCCATGGTCCCTTATTAAATCACACCAGAACAAAACCAAACAATTTCTCAGCTCTAGACGAGGTGACAATGTCAAACTGAAAATGAAATGAGAAGAACATGCTGCATGTTGCCAGGGGACTTGACAACCACAGGCACAGGCTGTCCTAACAAATGTAGTGGTACTGTAAACTCTTCTCTGAGAAACAAGACCACCAAAGGAACATAAGGCAATAACAGCAGATACCAACAGGTAGACTCCAGATAGAAATAATGCACTGATGAAGGAGACATGTTTCTATCAGTACTCTCCCAGTCTCTTCCTCCCGCTGCCTCTCCAGCAGCGCCAGCTGTGCCAGATATGCTTCCTGCTGATACAACCCTGCTTTGCAGCCTTTTCCTGCCCCATGACACAGCTTGGAGAGGCCAGAGTCCTACACAACGTCAGAGTGCCCCTCCCTGTGCCCTGTGGCACCTTGTGGCACCTGTCACTGTCTCAGAGAGGCAGGGGAACAGAAACATTTGCAACTGTTGAAGTTGCTATTCCAGTCAAGGCAGCATTTCATCTTTCTAGAGCTGACTCTGGCACCAGCTGTTAACAGGAAAGCAATGGTATTCTTTGCAAAATAATCTGTCTAAAGGAAATCAGGTTTGCAGTTCCTCACTAAAAAGGGGGTCTTGTGGTTAGGACCAGGAGGCTTAACACCTAAATTTGTTTTAATTTCTTCTACATCCTCAGAAATCTAACACATGGTGCTCTGAAGATCTATATCGAACCCTTTTATAAAGATGGACATGATGATTTCATTCATGGTATAGTGCATGATATTCACTAGCAGTGAGTCCCACAGGGTAATCATACATCTACACTCTTCTAAATTCTATACTAATTCCTGTTAGAACTAATTTAAATACATCTGCTCTTCCTTACAGGACTCTGGTTTGTATTTTTAAGAATAGCCAGTTTTCTTCGTTTGTATAACATGTTACTTGCTGTTCTCACCTTTGCTTTCAAACATTAACCACTTCTATATCTCAAACCTTATATGACAGCTTTTCCTATACTAGATAATATCTTTCTTATTGTTACTTTTCTATTCCAATCTGTTTTTTTTTAATATGGCAAGTAGACCCGAGTAGAGGGTTGCATTTGAATGCACTATTGGTGTGAATAGTGATCAGAAGCATCCTCAGCTGAGAATATTATGCAATTTATATTTCTTTTCCACTAAAAAAGGTTTCACTGGAAACATTTACTGATTTGATTTCTGTAGTAAAGTACATAAAAAATTGTTTCCTACCCCCTAGTCTTACTCCCCTAAAAGACCCTTATCAGGGAAATAAATACATAAGCATACCAGAAAATCTCAAAGCATGGGAGAGAGTAAAAGTGTTTCCCCCATCTCTTTGATATTGATACTTTCACCTGTTTCTTTTTCTTATGAGTCTGCTTTCTTTTTTAAACTTAACTGCAAAGCAGAGTTTTTACTGATTTGACCATAAAGAAGCTTAGCTTTCTCTTGAGTTTTATAGCTAATTTAGAGACCAACATACAGCTTCGATCATCCGTGAATTAGTCTTTCCAATCTGAATGACAAGAAAATGACACAGCTTCTCAGAGGGGATACACTGTCAAGAATCAAATGCAAAAAAGTTTTTATTTCTCAATAGATGAAAGATAAAATAAATAACCCATATTTTTTTACATTCCAAGGTGTTTTGTAGAAACGGCTCTTCTGTACTGAATAAGAAAATTATCACAGTTTTATAGAAAAGTTAGAAAATATTTTACTCAGGCAGGATTATTTGAAAGCAAAATGTGCAGGTGAAAGAAAATTAAGGTGAGTAATACCTGATGGAACTACCTAACTAATAATCCTAAATATGATGAATCTACGCTGGCATATCTCTCTTCAAGCTCAAACAGAAAGTTTGGATTTGAGGAAAGAATCACTGAACAAAGTTGCATGAACTAGGTATAAAATAATGAAAACTAGGAAACCCTCTTTGGCCTAAGAATAGTTGACCTAATTTAAACAAATCAAGTGAGAAATATAGAATCATAGAATAGTTTGGGCTGAAAGGAACCTTAAAGATCATCTAGTTCCAATTTCCCTTCCGTGGGCAGGAATTCATTCCACTAGAGCAGGATGCTCAAAGCCCCATCCCATCTGGCCTTAAACACTTCCTGAATAAGAGAGAAAAATTTGCTATATGTGAAGCAAGGTTATTTAGGGGAGATATTTTGCACAGTATTGAAGGTAAGAACTAAACTCTTTTTGAATATGTTGTAGAAGGAGAGGCAGCTGGCAGAGAAACCAAGCAGAACATGCATTTCACTTACATTAGGTTTAATCTGTGTTTGTAACCCTTCACTATTACTGTAAAGAAAGTAAGCATCTCCAAAGGATGGGAAGAATTACTGTTTGAATAAACTTTTCTCACACAGATTCATGGGATGACTAGCTTACTCCAGATAGTAGAAACAGATGAGTTGAATCTCACCTGAAAGGCAACAAAATGGATCAGAAAGTTTGGATGGAAATCCGAGCATTTTTGCTTTGTATGGGTTAAGAGGAAAAATGAAAAATCATACGGAGTCAGAGAAAAGGAAGATTTCAGCTATTGGTATGGAAGATAAAGGACTTAAAAGTTTTGGTTTTCTTTAAAGAAAAGGAGTTGCTCTTAGAGGTAAAAACATAGTGAGTTGTATATATCTCAGTTCAGAGGGAAAAGGAAAGAAAAAGTCAGAAAATACGAGGCATTTTTCAAAAGAAAATAAGGGCAATCAAGAAGGTTTAGAAAGAAGCTGAGTTTCAGCCGTGCTATGTTCAAGAGGCATTCAAAATGTAGAAAAAGAAAGAAGAGAAAAATTCTGTTGAACTGCAAGTAGAGCATGAGGAAAGAACATGAAGGAACAGTATGGCTTTGGTTCTTTACTTTAGGAGAGCTGCAAGAACAGAACAGATTATGTAAAATACAAAGCAGAGAAGGTAGCAAGTGAAAAAGACTGCCCTAAGCCCCAAAGTAAGACATAGTTATGCTACGGAAATTACAGCAGAGACAGTGACTATGAAGTGACAGAGGGAGATTGAACACCAAGAATATGATGTATCGTGATCCTTGGATGCTTCATATTGCTCGAATCTGGTTATTTCCTTTTGCCTTCTTTCTGGCTACCATGGTATTAATATTCTAATTTAGTAGCATGCAGAGCAGCACGTAATAAGACCTGAGTTCAGAGAGGTCAATATACAGTTACCTTATGTGCTGTATGTGCTATACATATAGCACATGCATGCATTCATTTCCATGTGCATGTAGTTACTACAAAGTTACTACCTTCCTCTTTGTCTCTCAAGAATGCAAACACTGAACATCTTAAGAAATATCTGACCCATGTGCCTCTTTTCTAATATTTTTCCCACCTCCATGCATGTTTTATGAAAGACCTGACAAGAAATGGACAACATGCACATGCAGCAATATTTCTGCATCTTTCAATTAGAATTTTGGGAAAAATGGGATTTATTATTTTAGAGAGATGAGAACTGTGTAACTAGGATGACTCTATATCAATTCTCTGAAGTACTCTCAATCACTGACACTCAGCTACATTTCAACCTTTCTACTGCTGATCTCTAGAGATTGTCCTTAGCTGTGTACATTTACAGTATATTCCTGTTTTGTCCATATCTCAACACTGAGTGGATCTCAAATACAACCTTTTGTAATTTTTCCAAACATTTTGGATTAAGCCTTCTGATTTGAGCAAGTTCAAATATTTGAAGACTTGAAAATTGTAAGAGGTTTTATTTCAGATCTACTCAGTGTTAAGATACCTTTAGGTTCAAGACTTCAGGCACTTTGTTAACTGAAATATTTAACATAATGTTTTAGTTATAAAAATAAAATATTTAGGACTTGTCTTATCAATCTTAATAAATTATCACTGGCAGCAATAAAAAACTGTTTATGCAAAGGCTCATTAAAGAGTGCAGAATTTTATCGAAAACTTTTTTCTCTTCAATTAAATTACTGAATCCATTCAATGAAAGTTAAATTTTGAACACATACATTTCTTATTAAGTAAGAAACTATTTTTGTGCATTTCATTTATGAGTGGAAAAGGCACAGTGAGCCCTACAACTTGTTTGGTCAAAGTCAAATGGAACCCAAGCCTCATGAGAATCCACAAATTTTTATTTTTAATGCACTTTTAATGAGAAAAAACCCAGTTTTCTCCCATTTCCCTTCATATTTAGTCCCCATCTGTAGTTCTCTTAAAAATCATTGCTACCACCAGTGGTATAGAGTAGGAATAGCCCCAGGTAGCTTTAGGCATCTCAGAGTTAGACAAATTATTTTAACTAATTATCACAGGACTTTTTTCCCTGAGTGGAAAGACACCCCCACCTCCAGAGATCAATTACTTATCAACCTCTAATACATCTTTGAAGACAAAATACCTGATTTTACTGACTAGGTGATAAATTTGGATTAGCTGCTTTATGTCAAGTGGTTAAAGCTGGGTTGAAACCTTGTGGAATCTACAATTAATCTCATCAGTCCCCTGTATCTTGTAAATGATGCTATGACAAACAATTCTTATGTATTAAAATATATTTGCTGTTTTTGCAGACAATGAGGAAAGAGTCATAATCTAAATGTGACAATGCATCTTACTAACCTTTCAGCAATATGAAAAACAGTGTAGTCGGGAAAGGGAACAGCATTGAGTGTAGGCTGAAAAATAATTCTCTAAACTCTTTATTCTAATAGACATGAATAGAGAATGGTTCGAGTGTGAAATATTTTTCAAAGCTTTGTATTTCTCATGCAGAGTTCTGAGTTACAACTAATAATGTGTATCTTATTTAGACTTGTTCAAACTAGATAACACAGAATGTCTACTGAGAAATCCTGCTGTAGCAAGAACAATTGATATGTTCAAATTGTCTGTTTCAGAGCATGTACAGCAATGTTTCTACCCATCTGACAGGGTGCTTGAGAAAAATCAGAATAAATTAATATCGTTGTAAACACTTAATTTCTACTATTATATTTTATTGCATAGTTAATGATGGATAAAGCATTTTATCAATTAAGAAATTAGTATTTCTTGTATTAATGAGATAAGTCAGAAAGTAAGATATCCATTCTGGAAAGATGATAGTATGATCTCAGACTGATGCTTATGGAAATGTATTCATCTGATATCTATTCAACTGGCAAGCTGTTTTTTGTGAGCTTCCTGGAAACAGAACAACAAAACTGCTCAAGCCCATTACGTCATCACAGCTGATAATCGTTTTCAGTTTGCTGATCCAGCTAGTCCAGAAGTACAGCTTTTGCACTTACAAAGAAATCACAGCTTATTAGTAGCAATTGTCTCTATAAAAACTTACAAAATGAACTTATTGAACAGCATGAAAATAAGTGGGAGTTCTCCAACTCATTTGCTTTTCTTCCCCTATAATTTATATGGGATGTTTTTGCACTCCAGTCCTCTAACAGGACAAATAATTGAAAACATCATCCCTACATGGGAGCAATTTCTGCTGCTGGAAATGTTAACAAAAAAGGAAATTTTAAGAAGCCGAGATGCCATCAGAGTTTTCCAGTGTCTAGCAGACTTTTGGGAAATGCTGCCTGCACTCATTTTAAATGAGGAAATATTTCAGTTTTAGTGAAAAAAGACATGACCGCTTGTGCATGGCAGTTTTTGGCAGGCAGCTGGGCTTTATAAATGCCTCACTTTAAATTAAAAAAGAAAACAATCATAGATGTAGAACAAAACTTCCAATCCATCCTGATCACACAGAAACCACAGGTGGCAGTTCTCTCATGCACTAGCTCTGTCTTAAGTTTGCAGATTAACAAAACACCACGAAACAACAGGAGCATTTTCTTTAGCAGGAACAGGTGATGTTTAAATATTCTTACCATTGTTGCCTGTGGAGGAGTCAAACTGAACCTCAGGTGCTGAGTTTTCTGCAGGTGTAGAAGCTGCTGGTAGTCCCAGAATAAGTTGATCCACGTTGCTTCCCACTGGTTGCTGCTGATCAGAGCCAGCAGAGCTGAGGATCAGGAGACTTTTGCTCTGCTGCCCCACTCCCTCCTTGTGGAAGGTGTAATACTTTTGCTTCTCCTCTCCAAAATGGGGGCTAAAGGTCTCAAAAGGTCGGCCCTGCTTATCAGCTGCTTTTTCCCAGGGTTTCAAGTTTTTCTGAGTGTAAGTGCCACCTGCTTTGCCGCAGAAACTGGGCCCATGAGAAGGCAGAGGACCTTCACTCAGCAGGTTTTTCAACTCTTGTAGACTTTGTTTAGAAATGCCAGGTGCCCCTGTGAAGGACTCAGCAGTACTGTTCCCTTGTGTGGATACAGCACGGCCCAGGGAGCCCATCTTCGTCACATGAAACTTTACAACTTTTTCTTTCGTACCACCCTGTTCTTCTGGCTTAGCCCCTGCCTGCTCACTGCCCTTTTCCCTCTGCACTGCCTCTGTGTAGCCACCTTTCCCTGCACTCCTCGCAGGTGGTATGCTTGTGGGCTGCTTCATTTGAACTGCTGTATCTACTTCCTCCTCCATTTTCCCCACTATTTTTTTCCCAGTGTCAGCATTTTCCTGGTTTTCTTGTTTTTCTCCAGACGTGTCTTCTTTCACAGCACTGCCAGAATTGGAACTGTCATCACCCTCTCTGTCCTTTTGCACTGGAGAAAAGGTAGTGGGGTTTTGGAGAGACCGGTCTGATGGTGGTTCTGAGCAACCAGTGGTTCCTTTAAGGGGACAGGGATCTGGGATTTTTGAGGTGTGGGACAGCTCCATCTTCTCATTTTTTAAAGAAGGAACATACTTTGTAGGACCTTTGATTCCCTTTTTCTTTCTGAAACCACATATATTGTTGCCATCAACTTCATCACTGTCACTTTCAGATGTGTTCTGTAACCAGCAATAAAATATACAACCAAATAATATGCATGAATGAAACATGGCAATGGAGTACTACCACCAGCTGCATTAATCTTGTAGCATTTCCATTACTACTTGCTGATGGAGGTCTCTGTGGGCACTTATTTTGTTTCTTAAAAGTTCTCACAGAATTCTCTTTCTTACATTTTATTAAAAAATCAGTGAAAATGCTTTCATAATGTAGTTTTTAGGTAGATCTAGTAGATTTAATATAAGACATAGTACACTGTGTGACATCATTTGCCAAACATATGCACTTTAAGTGTGAAAAAAATGTATTTTAATAATTACATTTAAGTATGTTCCTGTTCATATTAAAAGTGTGTTTGTATTTATAAAGGAAATGTATTACCCTAAAACACAGAACAGTGGCAATTCTTATAATTGTAAAGACTGAAACCTGAAAATAAATGATGTTAAATTAATTTCAGGATCTAATTTGGACAAATTACTGAACTTGCAAAGCAGTGGACAGGAGGAAATCTCATATTTGGATGTATAAACAGGAAAGAACCTGAAGATGATGTTTGCCTTTATATATGACATAGACATAATTTATATTGTAGAGGTGAGAATAGATTTTAAAATAGATGTAAACATGAGGAAAAGGTTCAAAACAAGAGCTACAAAAATTAATATGCTTGCATTATCACAAAAAATATCAAGAAGTGTCTGGATCATTGTCCCTGCTAAGTATCCTGATCCAACTGCAAGTGTCGTTAATTTGATGGTGACAGGGAAATGGACAGAAAATCAAACCCAGACACATTTGAATTTAAAAAAATACCACAGATTTTAATATTGTGGGTGCTTAATTATTTCACACACTGTCAGAGTAGTGATTGAATTCTCCATCTCATATCTTAAAAAAAGGCTCCCTAACACAATTTAACAAAAATATAAACTACTCCATAGCCAATCACAAACTGTTATATTGCTTATGAATACCTACTCAAACATGCATTTAAGACATATTAACAGTTCTTAGTTTGCTTGGATTGGGCTGGAATTAAGACCTGTAAGGAAATCAAGGGATATCCTCTGAATGAGACCATTCTTTACCTTTTCCACAAAGGAATAATCTGTACTCTCTCCAATTTCTGAATTTCCAGAAGAAGGTATCTGCACAAAAGCAAAGTGAATGCCAGTCTGGGTAAGGCAAAAGAGATTCCTGTTGGTAGACAAAAGCACGTAGAAGAAAAGGCAGCAGCAGCTAATGTGCATATGGAAGGAAATAGTTACATGGCCCCCATTAAGGTCATTAACAATTTCCTTTCTCTACATTATTCCTTCCTATTTTCACTATTTTCCCATTATGCTATTTTCCATCATTATATGTTCAAAAAGGCTTATGAATTCTCTCCTAACACAGAACTCACAGAAATATTTCCTTCCTCCCTCCCCTTGCTCCGATTTTCCATGACACTCTGTACGTGCAGCTACTCTGGGAGTGTGCCGGGACATCGCTGTTAGGGTGGAAGGTGTTTTGGCCACCAGCCCCATAGGGAAGATGAGCCACTCTGTGCCTGTAACTCCCATGCACAGATCCTGGCAGCGATGGGCTCATGACACCCACTTGCAATCAAACACAGTGACTGACACATTCACAACAGAAAACCATGCTTACTCCAGTTTTAGCACTCAGTTTTTAATGAACCCAATTCTTCATCCAAGAGCTTTGGTTTATTCCTATAATAAACCCCATGATAACCCATAACATTATTCTGGGTGTTTGCTGATACCCCTACAGGTTCACTCATGCAGATAGATCCAATTCCTACAGCTCTGCATCATTTTGGAATAGAAATGTAATAAAAATACTCTTCTGAAAAGCAAACTGGACAAAAAATTATTATTATTCTAAATTATAATGAAGAATTTTAACACCTCTCTTAATAATACAAGAAAGGGAATGAAGCTGGGGAAGAAAAAGAGGGAATGGAGGATCAGTGTCTGCTAAATAGAAAAAGACAAATAATCTTAAAATACTCATCATAATAAATTTCTGCATATATATATAACTTTATCTAAGGGAAGTTAAGCACATCGGTTTTTTTAACACCTGTACACTCAAGTCAGACAGAAGATCATTTATCAAAATCAAAATGTCAGAAAACCACCTATCTACATAATTAGCCATTCTAAAGGATTTCGTGAACACAAGGTACCATCCCCATATTATAATTCTTACCAAAATAAATTCCCTCTGAGTAAAGATGAGCAGGATGAGGACTGATCACTGGTAACTTTGTTAACTCTTTTGAAACAAATCTCTAATAACTGATGCATCAACAGTAGTTTGCAGAGAGTTTATTTTCCATGAAGAAATAGACTGTGGTACTTAGTTTTGATTATAGAACCAAAGATATGCTGTGCCCGTTGCTCTTAAACAAAAACAGTGATAATTTTTAACTTCAAATAAACAAAACTCCTACAGTTATACAGAGAACAACCTATGCATTACTTTAGGTCCTCAGCACAAGAAACACTGTAACTTTGTGCAGGAAAATTACTCTTTGTTCCTAAATAAACTCAGATATTTATGGACTTTCATTTAGAAATCATTCACCATGTTTTCTGCAGTAAAATAAACAGGCCTGTGTTTGTCGCAAAATACCAATAGAGCATCTCTTCATATTAAAAACAGTCACATGCATGAGCTATAAAACAAGCCTTATTTGTCTAGTAATTTATGTGTTGTCTACCATCAGAAAAGGCTTAGTGCCTGGGCACAGAGTGGGGACCACCCAGGAACAGGACTTATGAATTATCTGTTTAATTTTTTATTTCTTGAAAATTTTTTATCTACAGAAGACAGGAGTGGTTAAGTGAAATAGCACCTTGAAAAAGATACAGTACAAGTGAGCTGGCTACAAATCATTACTTAATTTCATTGAACCCTGTGTCCTGCTATGCTGAAAGGAAAGTGAAACAGTCATGGCATTAATACGGCAAAAGTTCTGACTGCTTTCAATTTCCTTCCTGAATGTTCCTACATTTTTGTTGCTCTTTGGTAACAGTACCAGGAGATACTCAGGCTACTTGAAAGTTATTTTACCCAATGTTTATTTCGTCAGTATTCAATATTTTTTTGCTTATTTTCAAATATTTACTGGCATCTTAAGTCAGAGGTCTTGGTAGTCTTGCAATTTGCTTCTCTGTGTTAGCAAGTGACCACTTGGTCAGTGACTCAAATATTCATCCCAGAAGAATTAGGTCCAAAATATAAACAGTGTGGACCACATTATGCAACAAATCTGAGATTTAGATTTTTCTTTCTAAAGTTTTATCTGATGTTATTTGCCGCTAATAGTCTTTGTTACTCCCCTAAGGTCTGATTTCTGTTATGACTGCTTGTCCCAGTGCCTCTACTTGTGCTGCTACATCGATCCCCTCTGCACTGGAGTTTGCATCCGGTAGGATCTCGGGCAGAGGTGGACCAGCTCAAGTCCTGCAAGAGGCAGGAAGAGTGGATTAGACTTCATTTCCCTTCATGGGCAATCTCAGCTCACACAAATAACAGCTTTGCTAGTCTTCACTGTGTACCTGCTGTGTCACTTTGAATACACAAGAGTCTCGTCATCTCTGACTATCAGCAGGGCATAAAGGTTATATATTACAGCAACATATTAAGGCACCATGCAGGTAGGAAGAAGAGAGAATAGAGGACAATAGCAGCAAGCAACTATTTCTGCACTGTGCAGATGGAATTGCTTGTTCTACTTAATTACATGCCACTTCTGGCATGCGATCAGGATTCTATGTTTGAATATACATTTGTATATTTCATTATATATTTGTATATATCAAATGTTTGAATATACATTTTATACCTTGTGGTAACACAAAAAACATAAATCTAATCAATTTGTGTTCACTTTTAGACTTTGTACAGCTCTGGAGTGGAACATTAGCTATACTATGAAATACAGTACTGCCAATCATTTGGATCTGCCAATCCAAGAGCTGATAGCATTGGAAATGTAAAGTGTTGCCTTTGAGAGGAGTAACAAATGCTGAGGTTTTTAGTGTGTGAAAATTAAGGGCAATTCTTGAACTTTTGCCTTAAAAAGATTTTATGGTTAATGAAAATGTATCTATAGTGTTTTATGAGGCAAATTTTGGAGGCTGCAGATGAAACCTTCTATTTTTCTCCTACTTTTTGTTTGTGTCATGACTTCAGGCAACACTGTAAACACTGTTGTGGTTTATAAATCTCCCTTAAAAACATACTGACAAAAAGAGACAGGGAAATGAGAAAAAGAAACTCACAGAAAAGCTTTTGAAAAGGCAAAAAAGAGAGAAAGGGAGTTTTAGTTTAAAAGATACTCTGAGTAACTGTAGATGAGCAGCTGCACGAGGATTTCTATCACAGGAAAAGGTGAGAGACAAGGAGCAACTCTGTCAGGAACTTTAGTATATCTAATCAACAAAATAACTCAATGTTCCTACAGCTGGCTACCCAAAAAAGTGAAGCAAGCATTCAATAAAATGCACTGGGGTCTCAGTCACATTGTTGGTTTTTGTTTCAGATCATTAACTGATTTTAGCCATTATTTTAATTGACTGATAAGAGGTCAAATTCTGATGATCTTCCCGAGCTGGTGTTATAGATTTTTCAAGAACAGAAGATTAATTTCGAAAAGAACATCAAAATGTCAAAATTTAGTATAACTAAGAAGTAAAAAAGCATGAGATGCTAAAAAAAAAAAAAAAAAAAAAAAAATTGAATTATATAAGATTTGGCTGGCTGAGTTTTTGTTTATGGTAAGTTAACTGTTTCACTTAGGTTTGATTTTTTTTTTAATCATATAAAACACTGTTGAAAAACTGAAATGAAATGTTTCCAGTCTAAAAAAAACCTAAAACTATTGTTCAAGTAATGTTGACATGTGAAATTATTCACATTGTTTGAATGTTTTTCCAGTTCTAATTCAAAAGTCACAATTTTCCAAAGTACTGCAAATGCTGTGAAACTCTAAATGCTGAGGAACTTTTTCTGTCCCACTCTGGCTGTTACCAGGTTACCCTTTACAGCTCCCCCAGGTTGGTACATCAAGTTTATTTACACTGCATGTGTAGTAATGAATTTCAAAAACCTGAAGCCAAGTCAGCAGGAGATGCTGTTTAAGACCTCACACAACAGCACCCATACAGAAAGCAGCCCTGTGTCCAAGTACTTTCCCTGCCCCTTCCCCTGGCATGTGGAAAGCATCACCTAGCTGCTCCCCCAGCAACCAGACAGCAAAGGAGCAGAGGATGCAAAAACAAATTATGTACTTGTGAGAATTAATGCAGCTCCACTGGAGTCACCAGAGCCACAAAGATTTAAGCCAGGAGAGAGTCTGTCCATGGAGTTGTACCAAGGACAACACAGATATTTACACAAGGAGCATCTCCAGGCACAGAGAGGGACTTTGGCTCTTGGGCACAATGCTAAAAGAATGCATGTGATGATAAACAGACACTGGTGGCTTGTAAGCTAGAAACATGAGGATCACAGCGCATTGTCAAGATATTGCTGTGACTAATTTCTCCCTCAGTGACCTTGTTTGATGAAGTGCCTCTTTGAGAGTGATTTACTGCTATGAAAACCTCCTAGTGAAGGACCTGAAAGGGGCATAAATATTAGATACATCTGATTATGTTGCTGTTGAAGAAGCTGAAGCACAAATTTGCCATAGGTCAAGCGAAATGTGTGACAAGGTGAGGAGCAGAAGAAAAGTCTCCTTCCTTCTTTAAAACTTTTAAAAATAGTCAAGAGTATTAACATCCTTCAGGTGAAAATTGATGGAGTGAGGTTAGTTCACAATATTGTGCTACTTATTTGCAAATCCAACATTTGCCTTTATCTGCTACACCCATTCAAAGCCTTTACACTATATACGCCATTTTCAGATGAGCTTCTCGAGGTCACTGATTCTCTTGCTGCCTCAAAGCAGCAGAGCTGTCCTTGTGACAAGATTATTTGCAATTACTTTCCCTTGGACTATGCCACCCGCATTGTGTTTGAAAAAAAATCCCTCAGGTAAGGCAGAGCCTCAAAATGCATAAGCTGATTCTATCTTCACAGTGATTTGGGACCACAGAAGTACAAATTCAGGACTAGAATCTGTTTTAAAATAAAACTCATAGAAACTGAGCAGCTCCACTTAGGTCAGTAAGCTAACTCAGGAGTGTGACTTTCTAATCCATGTCAGATCCTGGTCCACAAATTATAGTGCTTTCTTTTACATTAATGAAGTCAAAGCCAATCTGTTTTTCCAGTAATATTAATAGGATCAGATTTTAGGCATCTATTTCTGTTACTATTCATGAAGTTATAAATTAAATCAATAGAAACTCAAAATGTCTTAGAGGTGCTTCCTAAGGCAAATAGGTTTTTTTCAGTTTAAACAAGAAGCCTTTCTTTGACCTGCATTTCCTTCAGAATTAAGACATTCTCAACATACATGCATGAAGAGCCTTGCACATAATTCACAATTAAGTATGCCCTCACTTGGAATCTTGAGGTGCATGGAAGAAGTATTTTATATCAGTATATCTGTTTGGAAATCATTCACGATCAGCCTCTTACCTGCTGAGTAAGGTCTTCCTTTTTGTTCATGTCCACTTCATTCTAGTTCAGGTCACCATTAGAAATGGCCTAGTAAAAATCTAGTAGAAAGACATCCCATATTTATAGGCACAGGTACAATAAAGGTTAGTTCAAACAGAATTGCTGTAAAGTTCTTTTCCCAGAAGGCCATGCAAATGATGAACTATGAAGAGCAACCTCAACATGTCGTGACCAAGAGCACTGCTTTCTGGAACAGAGTTAAAGTGATACACTGACAAACACACACTATTAGCTGCCTGCCAGCCTGGAAACAAAGACAACTGAGTATGAAACTGTTTTGCTCAACTTTTCTCCTCACAAAAGGCTTTTGTCCTGTAACAAGCCATTTCTGTTCTGGAATAGAAGCTATTGTCAGGTTCCTTAGAGGTAAAACCTATACTGGGCATTATAACAGCAGTATATTTTTGAGGCACATGAACAGGGATTTGACGGGCACAGCATACTGCAAGAACAGCATGCAGCACCAGCCTGTTATTCTAGATGCTTGTATATTGTTAATATTGGTGCATCTCGTTGTATTATAACTGGGGAGGAGTCTTTTTTGCATTAGATCTCTAAAAATATTTCAAATATTAGATAGCAAAGCTTGTCTTTCTTACTTTTTTTATTTATCAGGTTTAATATTAATTCAAAGGACTGTGTTTAATTGTCATTTCATTCATTTAAGTTATTTTAGCTGACATAACATTACAGGATGGCCATATCGTGTGTAGTTAAAGCAACCCTTCCTGATAACCCATCACTCAATAAATTCAAGTAAATATGAAATTCAGATTGGCTTTTATCTATGTGAAAACTTGGGTTTGGCAGATATTAATAATTTCAAAGCAATAACATTTAAAAAACATTTAAAAGTTTGTTAAAATATCAAAATAAAAATAATGACTATGCATTAGGAGCTATAACTCACAAAAATCTTAGGTATCAACAATCAAATGCATAAGTGTTAGTGCTCAAGCCCCAAACTGTGATTCAGAAAATCCTTCCTTTTCTTGGAGATACTGAAAGGCCAGAGATCCTACATTTGTAACTCCATCTGTGCAATTTCTGTAACTGCTCCATTCTGAACTGCCCCACTTGTCACAGAGAAGAGCAGGCAACAACTGAAAGTTTGTTAGCATTCAAGAAACAGGCTTACTCATACGACTTGACATTTTGTCAACCAGGTATTAAAAAATTCACCACCTAGCACTCAATAAGACCAAGCTTCTGCAAGACAGATGGGATGGAAGTCAGTATTTTGCTTTCAGAATACTTTTTCCAAAAATTTTGGCCTTGGACTGTGGTCATATGATAGTAAGCAAAATTTCACAGTTCCTTTCAATCTTAACATTAGCATAAATGTGCTAAAAATGGTTTTATTTCCAGCTTAGGCTGGCTTAAAAGCTGTATTTAACATCACTATTACTAAAAACAGTTCCTTAAGAGTGTATCACGTAGACTAATATTTTCATAGCAATACTTTCTTTGTGGCATCAGAGAAAAGGGAGCCTCAGAAGAACAGCCCAAAAGGGTGTTTTCTAGAGAAGAAACAGAGATTTATACTAAATGATCTGCTTACTTTAGAGTGTAGAACTGATATCAGGACTTTGCATAATTATTTAATTTAAATATGCTGGGCTTAAACTACAATTTATCAAATACTGATCTAAAAATCTAGACACTTCAAAAATATCACACAGAGCAAACATCACAAACGCGATTACTTACTACTGAAACTACAGATACTTTGTATGCACTATGATGAATAAGTGGTAATGAGAAATGCGAACTGCTCATTATCCCATTAGTGGCTCTTCATCAGCTAGAAAAGAGACAGCTTGTCTGATGACAGATACTGTGGCAAACAACCACCAACTCAGGGAAACACTTGGCTAGTGAGCTGAGGGCAACCTTCAGGCACACAGCTTCACCATCATCATGGCTTAGAACTACTTCTGATTCCAGCTACTGATGCTGGGGTGGATTTTTTCACTGCTTGTACTCTTCTCCCATTCAGTTTGGTACTTCAAAGGGGGAAATTTCTATATACTTGGAATTAACATCATTTTAAGCAGGAAAGAATCAGGCTTCGGGGTACCCACCAGGAATTATTTTTTTTTTCCTAACTAGTTACCTTTAGCTGTTAAATCAAAAAATTTGTCCTCCAGTTTCAGAAACTTTCAAAATTAGAGCCCTTTTAAAATGTGGAGATTTCCAAACTGGTTCCAGCTGGCTGGTGACAACTAACATCCACACTGCACAGTACTGTATGGATATACAAAATGGGTTTTGCTCAGACACATTTCAGGAGATTTTGAGAACAAAGACTTTTGAGCTTCCTAGTTCCAAGGCTGACAATTGTATGGTCAACAAAAGGAGGTATTCACTAAGTCTCTCCCATACCATCATAAACCTATAAAATTCTGTACCAACACCTAAAGGTATCTTTCTCAGGTAACATTTGGAATCCCAAAACAAGTCTGGAGGATATTATCTTTATCTTTGGAACAATTTTAAGATTCTACAGCTGAAGAGGAATTCAAACTTTAGTACTTCCGAGGATTAAAATTTGACCCAAACTTTATTAGCCTAATTACCTAGATCTTTTGATGTATTTGCGTTACTGCGCCATAACTCCAGTGTTCTTTGTTTTCATCTCCTCAGTAAATCTGTTCACTCTGAAAGCAAATTCTTCCTTATGTTATCTGCATGTAGAGAACACTCTGTTTTACGTATATTCATATGTGTTTATGCCTTTTCCTTTAGCAGATTATTTCTGTTGTTCTTTTACTCTTTCATTCAATAAAGTATACTTATCTAGGGTACAGTAGATATATAGTTTTAAATCTTTTTGTGCCTGAATGGATTTAAATATATAATTCTGCCCCCTATACTGACTCCCTTAAAGATTCAAGGCAGCATTAAGAGAGGTTCATACTCAAAACTAGGAAACAGAGAGGAGATCAGGCTTCCTAGAGAGGTGACTGATGCCCCAGGCCTGAAAGCATTTGAGAGGCATGTGGGCAATGCCCTTAACAATATGCTCTAACTCCTGAAGGGGTCAGGCAGTTGGACTAGTTGGACTGCACATCCCTTCCAGCTAGAACTACCCTATCCTATCCTATTCTAAAACATTATATTCTAAATCTAACATTTAGCTGTTGCTAAATGAATAAGTGAAAAAAAATGCTTAATTTTCCTTTTCTGCTTGATGTAAACTGAATAAAAAATCATTGGGTCAGATAAAGAGAGGAAATAAAAGCTTAGATCTATATCAATAGTGAGAGATTCTCCTAGATGGAGCAACAGGTTTAATCTCTGCCTTGGTAAAAATCATATATTTTATGTAGAGTCTTTTTTCTGTCAGTCAAGTTTTGAATTCTATTAGCATTGAATAGATGTAGTGGGGTCCATTCCCTCTGAATGATATTCTTTCAATACAGGGGGTTTACATCATGATCTCATTCACACCAGGGGGAACCCAACAATAGCTACAAGTCTTCACCAAAATTATTGGGATGCCATTAGTAACTATATCCAAACCCAACATTTCACTATCTTAAATAGTTATGTGAAAGAGGTTCATCAAGGGCCTTTCTCCTCTAGACTTCATAAGCTCTGGCTGGTGAGAAGTAAAGGAAAAGCAAAAAGTCATTCTATGTTTAGTTGCACTTTGAAATTGTCCTCAAACAATGCAAGAAATGTAAGCCAGTTATAAGAACACAGGGACAAACTGATCACAGCTGTAAAAATGTAAGCCTAATTGTATGAGTTTAACCAAAATTAACCTCAAAAATCCATTTATTTTTCCTAGATACCACTGGAATCAGAATAAAGTTCTGATTAAATTATACAAATCAACAGTATGAAGAAATTGTCATGTTTTCCTGAATTCCCATAGGTAACAGCATCGAAACTCAAAAATATTATGACAATTGTCACAAAAGCTTTTGCATTTTCTTGAAGCCCTATTGTGCCTGGAAAAGACAATTTAAGAATCTCTGCTTTCATTTAAAATATATATTTCTACCATATTTTCAAGGAAGCCTTAAAAGCTAGCCTGTGCCAGAGGAAACAGATGGGATAACAGTGCTAAATTCCTAACCTTTCAATCCCAGCTGGTAATTTAATGTCAAACAGAAAATAGTTGCCATGTTCTCTCCTTACTTTAGGTGGCACCATCCTCACAGATGTTTATGTATGAAAGCTGCAAAAGATTCCCTCTGAATTCGAGTATGAAATACCTTGATAAAAGTAAGTGCTTGATTTGCAACTAATAGGAATATCTTACATTATTTAGACAAGTGAAAGTACTCCATTTCAGTGTAAAAGACATCTCTATTGCTGAAGAAAAGCTGCAAGGAATAGCTATCAGGAAAGTAGAAATGCCAAGGGATTTACTAGTAAACCTTGCTCTGTAACAGGCTTATTACGAAACCTGCAATGCACTCTCCATCTCTAACAAAGTTCCGTTCTCAGAAAAGTAACAGCTAAAACCCACTTACAATTCAACTTATTTAGCTGAGTTATGATAGTTTACCAGGACCCTTTCATTCTTCTCTTATTAATGGAGGAATTTCTCAAAACTGACCGAGGTTGCCAATTCCATTTTGCAGTATTTATCACTATTTCACAGTGTGGTTCTCCAAGTGCTAAAACAAAGTTAGAACTTTTTTAACACTTTTAGAAATGGAATGGGGGGGACGGGGGTGGTGACTGATGATGGCAACCAACATCAAATTCAATTCAGATTAGCCTCTTCTCAAATCATCTACATGTCAGGAGAGGTATGGACTTAGGCATGGATATTCAGTATCTCGAGGTGGTGCCCAAAAAACAATGGAAATATGTAACAAGATTCCCTGTCTCTGAAGGAAAAAAATCCCCTTCATATATCTTAAGCATATTTCTGCTAAATATTTTCACTCTGATGTACTTCAATCCTTTGTAATAGTGTTCCAGCTGGCTGTAGTCCTGTTTCCATGCAGTTAATTTGCCATCAACGTTGAAAATCTCATCAGAAATAAATTCTTACAAGACTCATG